CAATTTTGTACCCCCAAAGTTGTTGGTGTATAATTCAAGTTATACATAGTATATAATCTACATCTAAAATAAATTAAATAAATTACATTACTGATTATTCAGTGTTTATCATAAAATAATACTTTTTTTAAATTTCACGTACCCCCTAAGATGTCTTCGCGTACCCCCGGTTGAAAACCACTGATTTAGACTATACCAGAACAGAATATTACAATGTTGTTTGGTGTTCACGTCTAAGAAGGACATTAATTTTCTATTTATATTTTTTATATTACAGAAGACCCAATGAAGTGTGCACCTTTATTTCTGATAACTTCAGATCTGAGTGCACACAAGTTTACAATTACCACAGACTTTTGACATGGGATGACGCGAAAGGTCTGCACATGGACATATTCAAGGTACGACGCACTTCTATCAAGACAATCACCCTTTGAACCAATGCCAATGGACGTCTAGTGTTACTAACATTAATTTCAAATCTCAATAAGACAGTTATGGGCCACGATACTGAAAACACGTGGGTAATGGAGGTAAAGCTCCACGCATTCTTAATCTCGATACTAGACGGAAGGTAGTTGTCAGCTTTAGTGATTTAGAACCAAGTGATGTTGACAAGGCCTTAAAAGTTTCTATTTATTAAATTACTTTTATGTCAGTTACATACTGTTCATAGTAATTCTTTGTCGTTTATTGCTGTAATTTTTACATTGAGAATATTATTAAAAAGTTGAGTTTATTTTAATAATATCACATGCTAACGAATTGGGAATACTTCGACGAATTTCAAAAATTTGCCGTCTGTTTCCGCTTCAGGTCCCCACCTGCTGTTCGTGCCATGTTCAAGGTTACTCTTTTAACTTCCCGCCTCGAGGAACGGAGTCACAAGAGACCTCTCCACACCCGGAACACTTCCCTGGAGCTGATTTTGCTGTTGAAGATCACGGAATCCAGCAACAAAATCCTAGACCAAACGAAGGATTCAAGGCAGAGTTCGCGGAGGATTCTAATTTAAGACCGCCGTTACTTACAAATTCTGAACAGTTTCACGACGAAAGTTTCAGTCACACTTTTAACCAGGACAAAGGAATAAGAGGCCAGTTCAACACCAAACAAATAACCTCAGGGGGACAGTTTCAAAGTGACACGACCAGCAATAAATTTCTGGTCGAGGGACACAGGGACCAGTTTAATTTCAAAGAAGACAGAACGAGAAATCAGTTCCATTTCCAAAATGACGACACGAGGAACAAGTTCCAGGAAGACAACTCGAGACAACATTTCACACTTCAGCAATCTCCAAAGCGAGAAACTGTGCATTTGCAGAAATCCCCCGAGTACCACGTGACTCCTCCACCTTCGACTTTCCAAATTTCAAATCTGTTCCAGAGACAGGGATTCAGACACCCGACACCCGAGGGCCTCGTTCCTCCAGCAGGTCCACCACTGCCTCTAGCCCACGAGACGGACTTCCAGACGTTCTCAGGGAACAAGATCTTAAGACGGAGTCGGAACCAAACATCGAATGGATTAAGGTAATTTATATTTCTCATACTGCGGGATACTAACGTCGTCAATGCATAAGTCACCTACGATACTAAATTCTGTGGTATATCCTTTTTAAAAAAAGTCAATTTTAAGACCAATAAGGAAACGTGAGGATAACATTATAATGGATGTTGGGATCGGAGTTGAAGTTAAGTGCCGAGACAGAGGATTTTAATATTTTCAGTTTTGAAACCTTACGTTCTCATAACATATTTTAAATTTAGGCTAAGTAGCTACTAATCTGTACCACGATCTTCGGTTTAGAATATTTTAACCTCCTGGCTTTTAAATTTAAAAATTACGATTCAAACTTACGAGGTCTGAAAACAAGATTCTGATGAGAGTATTTGGACCTAACAGTAAGGAAGTGACAGAAGGACGCAGACAATTACATAAAATACATTCTTTCTGCAAGTCGGAAGGAGGATGAGTCGTAAACGCGTGGGAGAAACAAGAAATTTATGTAAAATTTTAGTCAGAGAACTTTAAGGGATACAACTGTTAACGGGGTATTAAATACGAGGTGCGATCGGAAGGTTTCCAGACTGCTAGTATAAAAACCCGTACACTTATCTCAGGTATTAAATTCATCCATCACCCTCGTAGTAGTTCCCCTGGGAGTGAACACAACGATCCCAGCGCCGCTGCCAAGCCTGGAAGCATCCCTGGAAATCTTTCTTTGTCAGCCTGTCAAGCACCATCTGCGATTCTGCCTGAATCTCTTGCCAAAGACTCGCCAAAACGGCTACGGAAACCTATGAAATGCTAAAGCAAGCATTTGGGGAGTCCGCAATGGGTCGTGCACAAACTTTTGTGGGGCATTCACGTTTTAAAAATGGCCGAACCTCTGGCGATTATGACGAGCGTTCTGGACGACCATCTTCGAGCACAACGCCCGAAAATGTTACGAAGATCGACGTCGTACCATCAACGACTTGTGCGACATTGCTGGGATAGGCTATGGGACCTGTCAGCTGATTCTAAAGGAAGAACTCCACAGGCGACGCATCCTGTCTGAGGACCAGAAGCAGAATCGACTTCTCGTTTGTCAGGAGCTCAAAGATCTTGCAAGAACCGACCCCAACTTCCTTTCTAAGCTCCGTGTGACTTCTTCCTCTTCCCAAAGATGAAAATTCAGCTAAAGGGAAGGAGATGTGAGACGATAGAAGAGATTCAGGCAGAATCGCAGATGGTGCTTGACAGGCTGACAAAGAAAGATTTCCAGGGATGCTTCCAGGCTTGGCAGCGGCGCTGGGATCGTTGTGTTCACTCCCAGGGGAACTACTTCGAGGGTGATGGATGAATGTAATACCTGAGATAAGTGTACGGGTTGTTATACGCGCAGTCTGGAAACCTTTCGATCGCACCTCGTACTACACAGCGCAACAAACCAGAAGACAGAAATCTTCATACTCACCGCTGTGAAAACCTATTTAATACCTGAGATAAGTGTACGGGTTTTTATACGCGCAGTCTTGAAACCTTTCGATCGCACCTCGTATGTTGTGAGTGTGTGGGCTGGATTAAACCCACTAAGCATCCAGCAGCTTTGTCGTGAACACGGTAATGAAAATTTGTGGTTAATTAGAGGTAAACAATCTGTTGACAGTCTGAACGGTCATCAGCTTCTGAAGGAGTACTAGTCGGTTCCTTTAGAATCAAAGGAATCGATAAATGACACTTGCACGAGTCGATCGTAACTGAATCTTACTGAATGTACACCTTTCCAGCTTGTCTGCAGTTACAAAAACGAGAATTTTATAAACTTTGAGGCAAATTTCTGTTTCAGGGACGAAGTGGATCTCGACGTGGAAGAGACAGCTGTCAAGGGACATCCGTTTCGTAACGCAGACGTCATCCACATTCCTTCGACAAAGGCAGCGACCACAATCTTCACGACCACCACGACACCAGCTCCTGCAACCGTGCCTTCGAAACCGTCTCCGACGGTATCAGGGGGAGGAAAGAGGGTGAATTACAATTACCACCCTATTATCGACTACTTTAGAACACAACAGGGCAAGAGCTTTGACCACGGAAACACACAAGACTGGACTCCAATCGTTGGTAACAACGAAAAACTCAAGTGAACATCGCGCTGAACATTTACGCAAAGGAATAATCAACACTGAAACTTAAGTTCTTTTAAAAGTGCTTTTTTTTTTTTTTGCGAAATCAGCAACTCGAAGGCTTGGAATTGTCGGTTATATTTCTGCTCGAAGACGATGAAATATGACTGTAATCGACCTGTAGATTGTTTCAAATTTTCTGGTTTGATCAATAACCACGAAGTTCGTAACATACATAATAATATTTAAAGTGTGGTAAAGACAGACGAAGCAGCTGCTGATTCCCACATAACACACATTACTAAAATAAATCACGTGAAATGTGAAGTGGATCTTCTATAGTAATCAATGTTCATAAAATGGACGATGAGTTACTAATAAATTAATAGGATGATTTATGTACATAAGCATAATTAAAAGTGTACACTTCGACCGATACGTGCATTTTATTTATTTAGTGTTTTGTCTGACGACAGGTCCATATGAACAGGATCCTTCCATCCTTTTCTCGGACTGGGACCTGTTCATATACGTTCTTGGCAGATGATCCAGAAGTGGTTTGCCATTGCCTTCTTCTGTGTGTGAATGGAGTAATTGTTGGGATGCCACGGAGGAAAACTCCGTGTTGCCTAGACCACGGCCTTGCCCAACGCAAGTTATAAATTCGGGCAGTGTTCTTCTCAGCTAAATGGAGATATTTGATTACATATTTATGTTTCTTACAGAAATTTTTGAGTTGCGATGTCTCCAGTCTTTAATTCTCAGGTAAAAAGCTCACTTATTTAATTCCCTCTTCATTTAACTGCACTTTTAAAATTTTTCATTTGTCAAGTAATCTGGTAACTAAAATATTCCTCGACGTATATTCGCGTATCTGATGTTTAATATTCCATATTGAGTCCCTTGTCACATTAACATGGCACGTCCTCAGGATATATTGAAAAAAAGACAAGGAGTGGTCTTCCAGTTTGGGGTTTAGGCGTAGGGGGACAACTCCCCACCGTAAGATATCAACATGTTATAACATTTTCCACGTGGCCGCGTACTCTGACGGACGTAAAATGTGCATTCGATTGGGAATTTGAAATGCCAAGAACCTAAATAGGCTAGATTAACAGAAAAGAGTACCAAAAAAATTCGCAAATTGTAAGTTAAGATCGGCCACGGGCGTCACTGAAACAGTAGGCGATTATATTTTCTATTATGTAAATTAGAATGAATACTAATCATTTAAGGACAGAATTTTTCGCACGTAACGGAATGACTAAGTGTACTATTAGCTTCTGAACTCTGTCGGCACAAGAACTTGGTACGCGCTGGACGACCGGATTTCGCTTCCTGAAAGAGACAGATCATTTTCGTCACACAGACTTCAGGTCGACTCTGGCCGACAAAATGACTTCAGGGAAATTTCCCAAGGGGCCAAGCGACTTGGCTATAAAGCTCACTGCTTACTTAAACTTAGGCTGTACGTAAGTTTTCTATACTATTCATGAATTGGTGTTTAATAATCACAAGGACGTTTAAGTTATTTTTGAAGGCGTTAATTCTCATATTTCTGTAGCACCCGAATTTATTTAGTTTATTTTGAGTGTCTGATAAGACATTTGGCTGATCTCGGAGCAAAGAAAGTTTTTATTATTTACGAAACTTGTACATCTCAGACCGGTACGAGTGTTTCTAATCTAACGAATTGCAAATCCTAGCGATTACATTATAACTTCTTCATTTCACGATATTTAGTCTTCATGGCCATGTGTCAGGACGTGAAGTTCCAAGATCGAATGTTATTTACTGTAAATCTTAATTTCTCATTCCAATGGACGAACACAGATCGTGTGTGTTTCAGAATAAACGCAGAGGAGACTATTTTGAACGTAGAAACAGAAATTAGTTGAGGATGGTCAGATAAACCGGATATGTGTCACGTATGGACAGATGAAAATACGTGCAAGGGCAGATAATATTAAAAATGATCTTAAATGAAGTCAGATGTAATGACGTGATTGGATTAAATTTATATATTAAATCTTGTCCGTCTAATCACAATAAATTCTTATTAAATATTAAAATATTACAATAATTAACATTTAAAATATTTAAAATATTAAAGATTAAATTTGTTCAGGGTTGGAGCAGGCTTTTGTGAAAACAGTAACGAACCTTACGGTTTTATAAAAGGCTGTAAACGACTCAGTCTCATTGAATTATTTTCTTAATTTTGGTTTAATATTAGTCACACGTTGGCGCATGGCTTCGTGGCCTGTGTCCTTTTTGCGCGGAGATTTTGCCTTCCTGTCAGTTGTAACATGTTGAAACACCAAGAGTAAAGAAGTATTTTCGAAACATTGTGTATCCTAACCTGGGAATATACTTTTTCAGTTTTATTAAAATATAGGCCTTCTCCTTTAGTACAGTCTAGACGACCTCATTTTCCAACGCAAAATACTAGGTGGCAGGTGGTACAGTCGTACTTGCGGTGAAAGGAGCTGTACCTGGGACCGCTCAATGTCCACTTCCCACCGAGGAAACTGAAACATACAACCGCAGTTCTCTTAGGGGTTGTGGCAGATGACAAATACAAACCTTGTCCAAGACGTGGCACCACAAGAACTACCACACGACCCGCAATGCAGTCGATGAAGTTATGCTACGTCGAATATTGGACGAAAATGCAACGCGTGTGACGTCACCCGTGGAAGCCACGTCAAGAACTCATGTAAAAAAAAAAAATCATTTTTGGACCACTATTATGGGGAAATTTATTCGCATGTGCCCTGAAAAAAGTTTATAAAGCTTTGAAACCGTGCACAAGATACTTACTTACAGATTTAACGACAACGACCTAGAACTTGTAAGATTTGAGGTTTTCACAGCGGTGAGTATGAAGATTTCTGTAAGTAAGTAATCTCGATACTCGTCGTCGTGAGAAACTTAAATCTCACTAAGTTTTAAGTAAATTCAAGGACCGAGCGAAGAAGTCAGGCCAGAGACAAAGCGTTAAGATGTATGAGAGGGAGAGGGAAACATCAGTCAAGTCACGACTGCTCTAACCCCTAGAGATAACCACAGGACGTCAAATTTTGTGTCACTGTGTCTGGATTTCATACCAGGAACAACAAAAGTAATTCAGAAAAAAATAAAATTATACGAAAAGGATTTTATTATACAAGAAAGAAAACTGCTGTTAAAATTTAATTAAACTTAAGAATTCCATTGAAAGTGCAGCTAATATTAAGTTCTAAGGGACAAATTAAATTAACTGACTGCCCAATTGCCTTGCGTTTCAAACACAACGAGGAAATTATTCCACACACGTTAAAGCAAAGGCAACAGCTCTGGACTTTCATGTCTTCACACGCATAAACCACCATTATTAATCGCTTCTCAAAGGTTTAACATTGTTAATAGCAAAGTTCTCCACTGGATACAAGTCTCAAAAATAAAGACAGTACTGGCGTACTTAAAAATGTACTCGTATGTTGGTAGCACTGAAAAACAATGGCAGCCGGCCCTCGCTTCCAATTAATGGATTCGAATATATTTTAAAAATAGGTAGACTCAGGTTTAAAATATGGCTGCAACAATGACAGATTGCGTCAGATATCAACGACCTGTTTCAATTTCTGTGGACAGAACGTGTGAAAATTAGTGACGTAGATGTCGACAATCTACGCTGGCTGAGGAAAGGTTACAAACATTTGAAAAAACAACAACTGAAAGGCCAACTGGCGCTGCTGACAGCGGACAAACAAGTCACTAAAACATGAGTTGGTGTTGTGGCAGATTTGTAAGCGTGTCTGAGAGAACTGATAATCATATCGTAATCGATGGATCTGTAGACTATCTGAGATAAGTCCAACTGAAAAAAAAACTATATTCTGATGCAATCAGAAACTTCTGAACCTTTGACTGCACAGATTGAAAATCACGGAAAGAAGACATGTTTGATTTACTACCAAAATATTTTTATTATTATATCTGTAAATTTTTAATTATGTTCGTATACAGCGAAGTAGGAGTATTTAATTCCTCTGACTACAAAACAATTCGTTCCCATTGTAGACATTTATCCGTGTTCCACATCATTAACCATGGTATTTGCTAGTTGGTCGATTTAAAAGAAAAGCTTGAATTTTATAAGATTTGTAATTTTTTTTACAAACAGTTACATTACATCATTAATACTTTAACGTATTTGCATACCTACACGTATTTTTAATCTTAACCATTGAAAGTAGCTGAAGGGATAGTAAAAGATTAATTTAATGGACATTATTCGGTTCACTAATTCCTTGGCCCACAACAATTTTTACTGCATTGAAATTACATACAAGTCTCACGCATTTAATACAATTATAATATAAAAAAACATATTTATACAAAATCACGCGGTCCTTGTCTTGAGGACAGCCGATGCCAAGATTTCATCAGAGGCTTCGAAAATAGAGCAGTGGTCTAGCTGTCCTTATATAACTGTACGCTCCAGCTTCAGTGATTGTATGTGCTCTTAATTCCTGCAGCCAATCGTACGTCACGGTTTATTTAACATTGCTGTTTCGCATTTCAGAAACCACGGTTCAAAAACTCAGATCGGAGGTTGGTTGAATTAACTGTGATTTTTCGTGATTGACTACAGTCCGTACACAAATATGCTGGATTACCTTGAAATAATCCACGGTCGCTTCGTTAAATATCCCTTCGGATTCACCAGTCACAATCATTCTGTCATTTGGTACTAGGAAAGAAGGATTTGGTCCACATGTAATTCATATCGACTTAAGCCCTTCTTAAGGAGCACAAAATAAACGTAGTCTAAGGCATATTTAAATAAAATAAGATTCAATATGACGAGCCACAATTCTGTCATCTTTAACACGAACACTGATGATTAAGTTAAAGGCGAATAAGAAATTGGTATGGATTATTAGCTTCTTAGCTGGAAAAGGAGCATTTATATACGAGGGCTGCTGGACAAAGGAGATATATACAATCACCTCAGCAGACCACTCTCTGATATCCGGAATGCAGAAACGTTACTTCTTAAGATCTAGCTGTCTACTGCAGATCAGAGGTTAGCTTCGAAATGTTCGATTAATGACAACGAGATTAGAAACTTGATGATATTACTAAACCAAAATATCCTGCAATTCGATGAGTAAAATAATAAAAATTAAAGTTTATGTAACCCTCGGTCAGCCCTCTAATTGGGTAAGTCTTCGGTTGTTTAACGACACTTCAACCACATAAGTTACGTAGCTTAAAATGGTGATTATTTTAAAGTAATATCTCTGCATTTTCCTGGAGAGAATGCGCCAAACTAAAACTCCCCAAATAAGAAGCATCAGAGTCAGTTGACCGCGATGTCCTGGCTGCCATGATCATCCATCCGCTGTAACCACTGACCATAGTTGATACTCAGTACAGATCGTGACA